ATGAGAAGAAAATCATGAATGGCAGTGCCAGGTACAAGAAGTAAGTATTTGGGAGAGGATGAATGACATTCCATATCTGGAAAATTATTCACCTTACAAAGACAGGGAAGTCATGTGAAGGCAGATATACGGCATCTCTAATAGTTCATTAGGCTTGTTCTTTCTACAGGTTCATTCTACAATGATATACTGTACACTTATTCTATGAAGATGATTTATCACTGTCAGTTCTACTACTAAGCAGAGAGGTTGTTCTCAATCAATGGTATAGATAGATGATTCTTCAACAGTTCTGCCATCCTTGGGTGTTCCTCTGTAGGCCTAAGTGGACACAAAGTCTTTTTAGTCAGAAAAAAGCTGGCTAAAGCTTCTTCTATGGTCTTACTTTTTAAATTTGAATTTTCCAGGACATTCCACTTAGTTGGCATCTTTTATGGGACACTCTTATTTGTCATATGAGACAACACGATCTTCTTATTTTCCTCCTTTTTTACTGAATATTCCTACTAATCTGGCTTCTCTTCCTGAACCCTAACCCTAAATATTGGAGTTTCCCCAAGACTTATTTTTTTCTAGGGTGGATTCATTTCCTTCTAAAACTTTAAATGCCATCTACTTTTGTAAACTTCAACATCTATATGCCTAGTGCCAGCCTTAACCTGTCCTTCGAGCACCAGCTTGTGTCCAGCTACTACTTGACCTCGCTTCTCAGTTGTCTTGAGAGTATCTCAAATGCAGGAAGTTCTAAACAGAGCTGATTTTCTACCCTCAACTTCTTTCCCCTGAAACTTCCATGTCTAATAAATAGCATCAATATTCACACTATTTTTCTAGCCAGAAAACTTGTCTTTTCATTCCCTCATCTGCCATATCCAGTCCAGCATCATGTCTCATAGGCTTGCACTCAGGCACCAAAGGGGAATCTTCATCCACTCTGCATTTCCGCTGCCACCACCTACTTTAAGCCACTATCATTTTTCACTTGACAACATCAATAGCCTTTTTCACTCTCCCGTACTCACTTCTTCCCACCACAGCTTAATCTAGCCTACCCAGTTGCCAAAATGCATTTGCAAACCGCAAATTATATCACATCACTATCTTGCTTTAATATCCTTCTGTCATTTCTCATTCCTCTTAGAATAATTTTAAATTCCTTACCAGAAGTAAATTGTTTGCTATGTTCTCATTCCTGAATATTTTTCCACCTACATTATTTCACCTTTTTCCTTATTGTTCTTTAAACAACCTTGGCCTCTTTCACCCTTTGTAACATGCCAAGGTCTTTTTTATCCCAAGGACTTTTTGTTCGTTTTTCTAGGCTCTATTCTTAGAATGTTGACTGTCTGGCTCCTTCACATCCCTTAGGTGTCACTGAGTCCTTTCCTCACTACCCCAGTTAACAGTGCTCTCACTGTTGAATATACTAGCATCTTCTTTTGTCTTCTCTAACTCAAGTGTATTTGTTGGCTTATATTCTAAGCTGCTAATGAAATGCCTATGCAAAACAAATAGTATCTCCTGAGTGCATGACTAAATTATTAAAGTTTATAAAGAAGAGACTTTTAAAAATTGGTTTTTATATATAATTTTAAGTAAAGAAAGGCATATACATAGAAAATCAAACCATTTAAATACCAATGCATATTGATGATTGTATGGGCTTGATGCTAACTTAATTTTGTGGAAAGGTGATAAATGAGCTAATAAATGTAAAACAAACTCCCATTTTTTGCACATAAATTTTGTATTAAATTACTTGCTATGAGGAGCCATTGAATTATTCTCAATAATATTCTAAATCAAAAGCAGAATATCTTCCTCTGTAATAGAGATTAAATGATTCCAAATATGTCATATTGATGATGATTCTTACCAACCTAAGGTCAGTAAGAAACATGAGATTTTAAAAATTCATAGCTCAATGGACTATTCTAGAAGTTCTCTTTCTCATTTTAATATGTTTTTGTACCCCAAATTCTGTGCCTTCAAATATGGAATCTTTTTATATTGCTCCTTAAAGAAAATTGCACTTTAAATGGACTTTGGTTTTAACAAAGAAGTCAAGATATAATTAGTTGAATATTTATTGAGAAGATACATCTTAGGAGGCACTAATTCTCTAACTTGGCTCTGCTCTACAGTTAGTAAAAATGAAACAACAGCTCAAAAACTTTCTATCACTCTTAAACAGCAGTCCATTAACCAAATGACTTGTAACATATCCTGAAATCAGTTTAGGTTCTCAGTTTGGATTGGGGGGGGGTGTTATGAGAAGGATGCTTTGATACAGACAACCTCAGTCTACTACAAGTGCTTTTGAGGATCCAGTGTCTAAGGCAGTGTTCTTGGCACTCTGAAGACTACAGTGCTGAATCAGAAGTAATTTTTGCTCTCAAAGAATTCACAACTAACTAATGGATTTACATGATAAATAACTATATATAACAAGGTAGAAGACAGAAAAAGTTCTACAGGAGGTAAAAAAAAATAAAGTAATATAGAAATTCAGAAGTGAGACAATAAGTTCCATTTAGGAATATTAGAAAGAAAATATTCACAGAGGTGTAGTCACTTTTGCTGAACTTTGAAAATAAAAGAGGACCTGAATGTGTAGAGAATGGGAAAGACATTTTTACCTCTGCAAAGGCATAGGATCAGAAAACTGTGAGAAATGCACAAAAATCAATGAGTAAGTCTGTTTGATTCAAGGGAGAAGAGAAGGAATTAGACTGGGAAAGTAGTTTGGCACTCTGTTTTTCAGGTTAGTGTAGGTGAACCTCATACCATGAGCATTAGGGAGTTATATAGGACTAGAGATCAAGGCTGTGATGTGAGTAGAGTTGTGCTGCTGGAATCTGTGGGCAAGGATATTGGAGAGAGATATGGTATGAAGGTTTCTCAAAGGCTATAATAGTGACATAGGTGGAAATGTTGGAAGAAATTTCAACAAAACTTGACAGCGTTTTGGATGAGGGGAGAAAGGGAGATTCACATGTGACTTAATACATTTTGAACTGGTTGATTGAAAGAATAGCTGTGCCATTAAAAGAAATGAGAAAGACAGAGATGCAGCGTTTGGAAAGAAAATTATGTAAGTAGGTATGGAAGCATTAATTGGGTATGCTAGTAGAACACAAAGTGTGGAATTATGAGAATGGATCTTGGGAGAAAATTAAGAGCTGTCGATAGAGCCCTGTGGTCCTGGTAGTTATCTGAAATCCTATGATTGATAAATTTTTCAAGGGAGAAAATATAGAGAGATAAAATGAGATGATTAAAGATAGGCAACGGGTGGACACCCACATGTAGTGGGCCATGTGGGGGGGGGGTGTAGAAGGATAAATAGAGACAAAGGAGAAGTATTAATGATTAATGGAGCTGTGAGAATATAGTGTTATGAAAACCATTAGAGAAGAGATTTTTAAGGAGAAAGAGCCCATGAATGTCAAATGTACACTTTCAAATGATGTGGCAGTTGAAAAAGATAGAAATTAAGAAAAGTCTGTCTCATTTTCAAAAATGAAATATAGATGCAATGTGACACATTGGAAAAGGTGTGTGCATTGAAATCAGAAGAACTATAGTCAAGTTCTGATCCCATGTGGTTGAACTATGTGATTGAAGCAAAATTACAGCATCTCATGTCTCTGAGGCTCAGTTACCTGATTGTCAAATGGGAATAATGTCAGACTCAACGGGCTGCAATGAGAAAAAACTCAACACATCACCATATGGATAAGAAGAGGCTGTGGTAAATAGATCTTAATGGATCTCTCTTTTGAGTTTGTCACCGATTTGCTTTCCATTAACTGCCAGATGATTATGAATTTGAGAAACCATCACCACCATTCATAAGTTGTTATATTAAGTTAATCATAACAATGAATTGCAAACCATGAAGCATTGGCCACTCATCCTTCCTGTGTAGAGTTGAGTGTAGGGGGAGCAGATGGAGCAAGGTTGACTTCTGACATCCCACCAGAGTGAGGAGTCAAGAGAGAATGGTGTCAACAGCCCCACCCAGTCTGATCAGTCTTAATGATGATGATATGTGTCCCTGGAAGAAGAGCAGGAACCACTGTGTTCATCGTGCTGGATTTTGTATCCTCTAGTGCCTAGCAAAACATTCTGTTTATGATAGATACTCGGTAAGTCTCTGCCAGGCAAATAGCTGATTCAGAGAGCTCTTTCTGTAAGGCAGTACAGATATCAGGAAAAGGAATAAAGCATTGAAGGGAAACAAGAAATTAAAATGGTCGATCATCCAACTGAATAGGGTATTGTGGCAAGCAACTAAACAGGTATATATGCTAGGATATAACTGTTCCAAATACAGTGTAACATATTTACCAGAAGACAAAACATTCCCCAAACCAGGAGCCAATGCTTGGAACAAAGGAATGGGCCAAGTGTACATCTAAGCCGGGTGCTGTCTCTAACTTTTATGCAATTATAAAGAGACAACATTACTTACACTTACATCTGTCCTTATTAGTAAGTAGAGAGGTAAGCAGATAAAGTGATGTAATTCCAAATACCATTTGTACAGAAGTAAACCTTTTGTTTTTATTAGTAAGCCATAGGAGAGCAATCAATAAATGCTGCAAGCAGTAGCTTCGTGACTAGCCTTGCAAATTGGTCTGGATGTCATGGTGTGCGCAATGAAGAATACCACTAAGACTCCATACTGATAAAAATGCAAATGAGGAAATATTTTGTATCAAAAAAAGAGGATATAATTCCATTTTAAATTATTCCAAGTTTTCTTTCTCTCAAGTCCATCTCCTATGTGACATTCAAATGTATTATGTTAAGCTAGAACTCTATTGTAAGTTCTTGTAAATAATTGCATGCCAAATTGACTATGCATAAAGAGAAAATGTGTTTGATAGAAAAATGAGATCCTGTGGTGTATGAGTTTCTTTCTTAAAAACTCTGCTTCAGCTGGTTATTTACCCGTCCTCTCCTCTCACTCCCACCCTGTGGTTGTTTCACAGGCCACGGCACATGTTCCTGTGGCCGCTGCATTTGTGAGAAAGGATGGTTTGGAAAGCTCTGCCAGCATCCGCGGAAGTGTAACATGACGGAAGAACAAAGCAAGAGTCTGTGTGAATCAGCAGATGGCATCTTGTGCTCGGGGAAGGGTGAGTATCTCTGCTGGAACCTGGACTGGATTCCTGCTCTGACACACAGTTTGTAGAACAGTCAACAGCAACCATCTTTCCCAGACCGAGCTTTGCATGAACGAAAGCCACTGTGTCCTCTGCTTGTACCCAGCATGAAGCTTGGAGATTAACCACACGAAGTTTTCTTGGATCTAAGAAAATGAAACCCAAATGATTTCTACATAAAAGAAGATATATGCAAAAAGATCCTTGTATGCAAATTTACTGTTGAATGAAATAGAACTAATAATTTTGTAAAAAGTAAGGACAATAAAATATACTGAGTACTGAATGGACTACCCCATCCTCTCCCCAGAAAGGCAAAGAAATGATTGTTGAGCTCACCTCTGAAATAGCACAGACCAGAACTGTAGAAAAGTGATCACAAGCATCTAAGCTGCCAGAAAATATGAAATACGACGTTTGGAACTTCTGGAGCTAAATTATAGAGATATATGCTGGAAAAGAGGAGGGTTGGAAGTGTGAGAAAGGCATAAAAGGAGAACAAATATTTTGTTTTATTTTAAAAAGAAAGAAAATTAGATGAGTCCTACCATTCTGGTGTAAGTTTCTTTGACCTAAATATCACTAATTGTTCTAAGCAAACATGTAAACTAAAATAAAAAATTGACAATAATTAAACAAAGAAAAACAAAAGCCTTCCCAATAATTATAACCTACAAGTTGGCTGAATAGAAGACACCAATCCAATCAAACATTTTTCAGATTTAAGAAAAAAACGAGCCTTCTCTTCCACTCCTATGTCCTTATACACACAGACACACACACACACACAACTGGAATAGATTTTTTTTTTCTGAGTAAAGAATACTAATCGATTATATTTTAGATACCTTGATTTTGTTTTCTCTGCATAATATTCTTGAAGGGACTTTGAAATCCCACTATCGTAGTACATATGGCACTACCTAGGAGACTGTCACGTTCCTCTTTGCTAGTGCCCAATAAGACATCGAGAGCCCTAAAAGATATTCTCACCACATGTCCAAGGAGCTGACTCACAAGAAGCTAGAAGTTATGGGGCTTCCCAGCCCCTCTCTTCAGCTCCATAGACTCCTTGCAGAGCAGAAACCTTCCTTTTCAGACAAGGCACAGTTCTAGCTGAAGATTCGTGTACTCTCAAACACCTCCACTGGATCAGGATGAGTGTGCGTGCAAATAACTTTCTGAAGAAGACAATAAAGCCAGCGTGCGCCAGGCACACTGCATAGTGTTTCAAAAGAGCCCCGCCAGTGAGGGCATCACACACATGAAAGGGGTGTCGGAAGCAGAATGTGATCTGGATTGTGTGTCGCCTAAATGGTGGCTATTGCTTTTCCCATTGCCCAAGGACATTGCTACCAAGTTGAAAGAGACGTTTTGACACAATTTCAGACATAAAAGACCGTGGATACTGTGACCACCTATGGTGCCAGGAGGAAGGTTGAAAATGGATAAAAATGTGCTTATTTTAATAGATGACTTGTGTCCTCGGTTTCCAGGAATTATGTGTTGGAGGCTTGTGTTAACAGTGCTCCAGCAAGGAGGTCCTGTTTTCAGCCTAACGCCATTACAACCAGCAGGTGGCAAATGAGTTTAAAGCAATCATGTTGTTCCCTGTTTGTTCTCCCATTTATTCAATCTAATTCCAAGCACCAAACAAACCTTCCACCAGTTCTCAGGGGGGCTCAGCTCCTGGAAACTCCTATTTTTGATTCAAGCTGTGTTGGAAGAACTCAAAAGGAGGAAATAAAGGTCAAAAGGAAGAAACCAAGGGAAAAAATGAAGAAGGAGGAGATAAATGAAGGAAAGTAAGAAGAAGACCGGGTAGAAGTAAACTCCGAGAGGGAAGTAGGAGTGAAGAAATGCTATCAGATCAAAACGGGGTGCTCTACGTATAAAAATGTTGAGAATGATTAACATTTTTGAATTAGATAATTTTTTCTGAGTATAGCTCTGCTTAAAGCTCTAAAGTTTAGACACTTTTTAACTTGGTTTTCCTAAATGATGTCACTGAGATAAGAGTATAAGCTTTTCACAGAAGAGGACGTTCATTCATATAAAAACATTAGTGTGTTTGTTTAGATTTGTGTATTTTAAAAAATCAGCCATTGTGTGTGTGTATGTGTGTGTGCTCTATCCATAAGCAGGGCTTTCCTAAGTCATGTCCTATTGCAAGTCCAGGAAGAATACACCCTACTCATCAGTGTAGTGCATAGCAATTTGTCATGTCCTAAACTAAATTTTATAAAAAACATATTTTTTATCAAAAAATAAATTCTAACTGGTCTCAGTGACTCAGCCTGTAATCCCGCGCTTTGGGAGGCTGAGGTGAATGGATTGCCTGAGCCTGCAGGTTTGAGATCCCCCCACTGGGCAACTTGGCGAGCCCTCATCTCTACAGTAAATTAAAAAAAAAAATTAGCCAGGCATGGTAGTGTGCGCCTGTAGTTCCAGCTACTTGGAAGGCTGAGGCGGAAGGATCGCCAGAGCCCAGCAGGTCGAGGCTGCGGTGGCCGGGAGTGTGCCCCTGCACTCCAGTCTGGGTAACAGAGTGAGACTCCAACTCAAAAAATAAAATAAAATAAAAAATAAAAAAAATAAAATTTGTATTAAAGTCATTGTGGTCTGAAGAAAGATTCTCATTTTCCAGCATCATAAATGTAGTTTTTTTAAAAATCAGGTGGACCCAATATTGACCCAAAGACATTTCCTCAAAACAAAACAAAGCCAAAAACTCTCTCTAGTTAATTCACTTGCAAATTGCTTACTATAGGTGGTATAAATATATCCAGAGATCAGTGAGGGGTCGAAAGCATATTTGTCTAAACTTTTTGTTACTGGGTAGAGAGTTTTAGAGTGTTTAAACTCAAAAGGGAATGTCAAAGCTGCCTGGAGGCTGCACATTTTGACGTTCATGGTAGTGGATGGGCATTTGTATTTTTGGCAACAGCTGGTGATGGGCTCCTTTCTTTCTTCCTGTTCTGGAGACATTAGTGTTGGATGATGGATGAATAAAGGGGATAAAATGAGAATCATGGAACTGTGATCTTTTGTAAGACAGAGGATAATGGGGACCTAGCCATTATTCCTGCTTCCTATGGGTAGTTACCACCCCACACCTCAACCTGGGACCCACAGGAAAAGTAACTCATGAACTAGACTTTAACCTGGCTGCGAAAAAGATAAGCCTATTTCAAATTATTTAACTGGGGCCATGTACTTCTTGGAAACTTCCTTGATCAATTTCATGACTTTGTCCAAATTCTGTGTCGTTTTTCTCAAATTTGACAGAGACAGCTTTTCACCCTCATGATCACAATGGATATTGAGTGCTTCTTTCTCTGATTATGGGACAGGTCTGAGCAGTGGCCTGAGGTCACCATGGCACATCACTTAGCAGCCTGTACCCACCAAACAAAGCTGAAACATGCACTTCCTACAAGTTGAGAATAAAGCTGTCACCTCAGGAGACGATGAAGAAATAGCATTTTATTTCTTTACAAATTTATAGCCAAGACAATAAATCACTCCATAGAAAAATTTAAAACAAGATACATTGTTGTGACCTTCATAACAGATGGAGTAGTTAGTACAATAATGAAAACTGCCTGCTGGGATGTTAGGTTGCAGCATTTTTTGTCAGGCTTGAATGAAAAAGAAAGTCCAACGTTAGTAATGGTATGGGGCAACTAACAAAGGTGCTTTGCCCTTGGACTCAAGTTATTTTTGTGAATAACCAAGAAAGATGGGCTCAGTGGTTAGGTCTACCCTAAATTTGGCTACCTTTACAAAGTATAGGATATATTTCATTGTAGGTTTTGTGTTTGTTTGGGATTTATGAATTTGGACCCAAGACTACACAATAACACTGTTGTCTTGATTGCTTCAACTTAGATCCAAGTAATAACCTCTAATAGTCTTACAAATGCTGTTGTGTGACAATGGCTATAAACCCCTGTTTCCTTAAGCCCTCACAATGACATTTCTTGGTTTCCACATCATCCAAATAAGTCTAGGGCACACCCACTATCCATCTCACATCCCTGGAAAAGAGAAAGGGTGAAAGTGATGCTTCACAAAACCAGCCTCAGCCAGACTGCTGTGCTAGTTGCCTCACCCAATATGGTTATCCAGTCAGACCTACAGTCAGATCAAACAGCTTATTTTTGAAACTACACTACATGAAAGTTTTCACTGTGGAAGACATCAATATAGGCAGATGGCTACATAGAAGAGTAGATTGAATCATATTGAAGTCTTCAGTTAATTGTTGCTATTGCATAGGTGGTCCCGGGAAATTTCCTTATCCTCTTTGTATTTCCATTCTCATGTTTGAAGGCAACATTTCATTTCCTTCTCCTTCTTAAGTTCTAAGGATGTTTTGAAGACACATGAGAAAATGTGGCTGATTCCCCAGGGATGGAAGCCAGTGAAAAGCACGGAAAGGAGACAGGAACATTCTTAATGTTCTTTATATCGAGAAAGAAAACGAGTGGATTAGTGGAATTGTGGTTATGAACTTACCGCCCAAGGTCTCAGGCCAAGTTTGATCAACTGCTCTCTGGCTTGGCTGGGTCTCAAGGGTGTGAGTGAGCCCCAGTCAGATGAGTCGAACAACTCACCTCTTGGTATTCATGCAGCTTATGTCATATGACAGAAACCTCTCCCAAATGTTTCTCTTTCCAGAGAGGGACAATTTGACCCTGTTATTGATGAAAACAGTCAGAGTTCTCTACAAGAAAGGTGCTATGATAGGTCCTAACAACTATACACACAGTGTTATTGCTACATGCTATCTATTCCTAGTTTCACAAGCAATGGAAGAATTTCATACCTCTGAGATGCATTGAGCATTGACAAACAGGAAAGAATAACACAGCTGGGAAAATGCTGACCTAGAAAACTACTGTTTCATGGCACATACAAAATCAATCCTTATTTTTTATCTTAAGTACTTCACTGACTAGTAGACATTGGAATTTACTCATCAAAAACTCTATCCATATATACCATACTAACTTTGAGCTTACCAGTTGTGGGAAAACATAGCATGAAGCTAAGCATTCCAGAAGCAAGAGAAGTGATCAGAATAGTTCCAGGACCAGAGGATATGTTTAAAGATAAAGTGCGAGATATTTTCAGGAATTATGACACACAAAAATATCCTAGGTGTAATATATTAATATCATAAATATATAAAATAATTTATTTCTGTTTTAGAAGTAATTTTCCAATGTAAGAATGATACTATTTTAGAAACTAAAAATAGTCATATTCTTCAAATTATTTATCTTCCTCCACTCATGTAAATAAAACACTTAATATGGTGCCTTCTGAGGAAATTTCTCTGATAGTCAATGAAATACTTCATGTTTTCTTTGTTGGCAGATAGATCACTATTTGTTAAACAAGCAGTTGAGCATTGAACTTGTCCATGTCTAGAAATTTGAGAGAAGTCTTTAAAATTAGAATAAATAAATGTCTAAATAAAAGAAACTCTATGCCAGAATGAGACCATAAGGGGACAAGCATCCCTTGCAGACTGACCAGGGAGGACCAGCTTCCCAGGCTCTACGAAACCACCAGGTTTTCAGTCACTCATTAGAACTGAAATATACCTATATTTTGCTCATGGGAATGCAAAGCAACCTAGACCTTCAGAAAGACAAGTCAAGATTAAATGAAATTATGCAGTGGCAAAGCAAGAAGTTAAAAATAAATGTAAGCACAATTCTCACAATATAACTAATGCTGACTACTCTCTTACCTGGAGAAATGTGACAAGAAATGGCAAAGTTTAATTTGGCCATTGAAAATACTTGCAGCTAAGATACCCATACTGGTTTCCATGATATGACGTGTCACAAAGAACTTCATGCTTGGGACACATTAGCATGAACACTCTCATGATATCTGTTGATAAGCATAACTTTCCTTAATCACTTTAACCAGCCAGGTTCATTCTCTTTTTAATCATTACCTTTCAATAGAGGCACTAATAATTGATTTCTGTCCTTTACTCCACGCCCCACCTCCAATATGTTTTGAACTTACCAAGTTTGGAATTTTGTGAAATATATAAAAATACTTTTTCAATTTCACATTCTCTTAAGGTAATTTTTGACCTAAAAAAAATTGGTGATAACCATCTTTTAGTAAAAGGTATTCATATCTGGAAAAGAAAACCAACCCAAGGAAACAGAAGAAAGAGGAAGTCCTTTTCTATTTGTTTCTTTAAAATTTTTTAAGTTGTCTTTTCTGCTGTAGTAGAAGCAGGTTTGCCATGTGAGGATTTTTTTAGATCTGTCATGTAAAGATATTTAGACTGAGAAGACTTTCTTCTCTTTGGAACGCCATTTAACACATTTATTTTCTTTGAATTTAAATATATAATTAATACATTTTTTACTCAGAAAAACAAGAATTTTTAACAAGAAAAGGGAAAGGTTTTTTTTTTAATAATTAGATAGGAAGTAAAAAAAAGGAAATAGGTTAAGTAGAAGGAAAAGTAGTTGAACCCAGAGCCCCATAAAGGATGAATAGTGGGGGATTTGAGCTACTCTTGATGGTGGCACAGAGACCCAAAGTTGAGGCCTCCTAAGTCAAATATACATGACTGATTGTGCATGTGCTTTTAGCATTTTAATTAGCCACCCACTCTGCAGCGGCACTCCCACTCCAAGAAAGGTATATAAACAAAAATCCAAAAATATGAACACAATAATCTAGGGGTTACTTCAATTATAAATACATCCTTATTTAATAGAATTTAATATTCAATTCCTTTGAAGCACAGGCACTTTAAAAATATGCTTCAATCCAGAAAAGAATTCTATTTTTAAACACCTTTTTGGAAGATCATCTATAAGAATCAGCCACACTCTGCTCTCCTTGACATTTCAACCAGACTGGGCCATGGGACATTTGCTCAAGGCTAATTGCAACTGTCTAGATCCATAATGAAGGCTTTCCTGGATGACCTTTATGAATTACAGTAAGTAAAGCACCCTTCCAAGAAACTAGCTATTCAATAAACTTTTACCTTTGGAAGCTAGATTTTTAGAAGCCTATTGTCAGTGTGTCAAATATATTCTATTCTAGATGGAAACTTTAGTTACATAGTGACAACGAGCCATACCGTTTGCAATTTCAGGTTCTTGTCATTGTGGAAGGTGCATTTGTTCTGCCGAAGAATGGTATATTTCAGGGGAATTCTGTGACTGTGATGATAGAGACTGCGACAAACATGATGGCCTCATTTGTACAGGTGCAGTATTGACCTACACTACTTGTTATATGCCACAGTTTGCCATGGAGCCAAATGACTCCCATCACATGATGCTTTAGCTGGCCGGACAGGCCGGTTCTCATTTAATCAAGGGAAGTCAATTGTTAGTGTTAATAAAGAGAGGTGGGTATTTGGGAATAAGCACTCACATTATTCCCAGTCATAGAAGCAGCTAAATTAAATGACTATTGGGAAACTTAGACAAAATAATCTACCCCTCCCCAACTCACATGTATGAATATATGTATATCTATACATATATATGTATATGCTAAATAAGAATTCTCTTGGCAACCATTTTACTTTGAGCATGGTGTAAGGGAAGAAATATTGCTTTAAACGGAATCCAGGTACCAATAGTTGATGTGTTGGTTGTTTTCAGGGACCTGGATGCGTGTATGTCTCTAGGGGAGAGGTAAGAGAAAGATATAAAACAAAGTCTCAGCAGTGCAATAGCCACTGCTAAACTGATTTATTGAGTCCTAACAACTGGTTATAAAATGCATTTGCTAAACCAAGTTACAGGAGAAATAGAGACATATATTTGCTTTCCCCATTTTTAGCTGAAGTTAGACACTTGCCCACTGCCCACTCTTCACAAGACTTCCTCTTCCAGCTGTTTGCTTAGCTTGCCTCATATTGTGTCAAGGAGCATTATGTTTTTTGGTATTTATTCATAAGTAGGCATAAGTTACAATCTAAGGGAAAACAAAATTGTGACGTGGAAGCCTAGCTGAAGCTATACAGAACGGCTACTATCTGATCTGTAAATGGTGGCATCAAATACATGCTATTAATTGTTTGAAAAATGAGATGTCTCACGGCTGCTTAATACAATGTAAAAATAAGATCACTGCACCATAAGAAAATCTACCGAGGATGAATGAAATGGATTTATTATGGACACTTATGTGGTTTATAACAGCATATTTAAACTAGGTGCCTTTTGATCATAATAATGATTCCCATGTGTATTTTATTGCAGGAAATGGAATATGTAGCTGTGGAAACTGTGAATGCTGGGATGGATGGAATGGAAATGCTTGTGAAATCTGGCTTGGCACAGAATATTCTTAATAGTGTCATGGGAGAGGACTGGATTCTTGTTTTTTGAGGCCATTACAAGATATAAATGCAGAGGAAACCATGTATAATCACCACTAGGACAGTTTAAGCAGACCATTGTATGTTTTTCTATTTCTGAATGAAATTTTGGTACTCATTAGAAATGAATTAAGCAAACTCTGACGTACATAACACTAGAAAGGATTTTTCATCCATAATTAATATAAGTGGTTCTCAATGAGGGCGATTTTGCCACTCAAAAGACATTTAGCAATATTTACAGACAATTTTGATTGTCACACTTAGTGAGGTGGGAGGGTGTGCTACAGGCTTCTAGTGAGTAGAAGCCAGTGACACTGCTAAACATTCAGCAGTGCCCAGAAAAGCCCCCACTGCAAGGAATTATGTGACTCCAAATGTCAATAGTTCTCTAGTTGAGAAATGCTGAATTACATTGTCGTTAAAAATCCACATTCCTACACAATAAAGATCATATTAGAATCTAAGGACAAGATACACCTTCACATAGATGAACCAATCAGATTTTTCCAGGATTCCATATCACTTCACGTTTTCATATGGGAACAATGAAGACACATGAGGTGAATGTCAGGTAGGGACTGGATCAAGGGAGAAGAGTGGTCATTTTTAGCCATGAAGTCATTTGTTTAATCTCACTCTAAATTCATGAAAGAGGATTCTCTTAAGATAAAGGAAGAAATTATGAAAAATGTACAATTTAACATTTTTAATAAATAGTGACAAGTTGTCTATACTCTGTATCAATGTATATGTACCTACTGATAATGAACCAAAAAGATGAATTGTTATTCAGGGATATTCATTTTTGGATCCTAGAACAAAGGGATTATACTTTAAAGTTGGGCATTGGTTACATGGACAAGAAATTTGATTTTTTTATCATTTAATTTATTCCACGGTAACGTGGCCTTTTAAAAAGACAGTATCTAGTTTCCTAATATGATGGGCCTGAAATGTGCATTTGTTTCCCTTAAATTCTTTCTTTTGTCTAAGGATACCTTACTTACTAGAAAAATGGGATCATGGAGAGAAGTCAAGAAGAGAAATACTATGATAAAATGGCACCAGTCTCAAAAGCAAAAAGGATAAAAACTAGAAATGGCTTAAATAGAAATTACAAATATTCACTCAGTAATATGAACAAAACGTTTATTTTCTTAATGGTGAAATTTTGCTCTGTATGAAATTCATGTTGAATTATGAAAATGTACAATAATTGAGTCTTCCCTTTACAGGTAAATCTACTTACACACATTAGTTTAGGCAACCTTTAATTATTTAGAGCTAAACAAACAAAAAAACCCACTTTTTTTCTAGATGTGAATTTTGTAAAATCCTAGGATAATGTAACAAAACCATTTCCATATTGTTTTAAGATAAAAATTTTTATTTGGAAATCTTATTTTAGTTATGTAAATATTTTAGAGTCATGGCTTGGATTTTATAAGTCAAATCACCAAAAATAATGAAATATGAATCTACTGAGTTACTTAAACATTTAATATTGAAAATTATTTTAAGAGAAAATTTAACTGATGCTGAGTTTTAGAGTACTAATAATGTTCTCATAATTTAATAGATTTATAAAATTGTTATTTCCTATCCTGAGATTAAAAGTGCAACCATGTTAGTTGTGGCTCTATTATTGAGTATGTAAATCAATATATTAGTTTTGTAAAAATGAGGGAAATATAAGTAGTCAAGAAATAATATAGATTATATTCTTTCCACTTTCCTACCTAAATATTTTAAGCTTTAAACAAACCTATTATGATTGTTTAGTAGCAATTTTGATGACTTATTTGATGATGCACAGACGTCAGAATTCATTACATCATCTCACTCTCATAATGCAAATAACCTTCAGATTCTTCTGTCGCAGTGCTCAGCTTTATATAAAAAACCAGATAGCAACTATTACAGACTTTGTGAATCATATATATCTCTGTCTCATATGCTTTTTTGTTTGTGTTTAATACTTTAAAACTGTAAAAATAAATAAATACATACATACATATTCTTTATGAGCTCTCCGGCCATCCATAAACAGGCTGAGAACTGGATATGTCTTGTGCCCGACCAGTATTTTGCTATCTCTGCTCTGCTGGATCTTAATTACCTGTGACTCGTCACATAACCTCAGGTGTGTCTGATTTTTCTCATAATTATATGTTGTTATACCTTTTCATTAACAACTACCACAAAAGTGCTGCTCTCTTTTATATTTTATAAGAAGAGTGTCAAAAATGTCCTTAGCATTTATGTTTTCAAAGAAAAATACTTTAGATATTGGAGAAATGATGATACCATATAAGTGTAATGTGTCTAAATTTTTGGACAAAGATGAAAATACATCATAGTTAGCTAAGTTCTGGGGCTCATTAAGTTACAAATTATAGAACTGAAACTGAATTATAGCGTAAGTCACCTGGTACCTAAACTCTAAGGAATGCTTTTTCTTTGAAAACAGACATATTTTATTTTTGCTTCTTTCTGTTGCATAATATTTCCTTGTGTGTGTGTGTGTGTGTGTTTGTGCGTGTGTGGTTTTGACTCTTGCAATGCAAACACCAATACAGCTATTAAGAAGTGATTGAATCTACATTTTTTAGATTGGGAAAAATAAACAGTTACATGTAAAGACATCAATTATACCCTTCTTTAATGTGATTTTGTACTTTGGCCTTTGACTCTACTATGGAGACTCTCTCTAAAAAACTAGCAGGGCATGAACAAACTTGTAATGGGTGGGAGAAAAATAAGCAGGTCTCTTGGGCTTGTTCATGTTTTTAGGAATTTGCAGTGGGATTAATGTCAATTGGAAGGGATACAAGTTGACTGATGGTTCTGGCACTAACTCTGCTTGTTTGGCAAACCATCACTGAGGAATTCCACCACAAGGACTTTTTCAAAAAAGTCAACCAAAGTGCTAAGTCACAAGAGGAGAGTCACTATACCCATTGCCTTTCTGGGCTCCCTGAATTTATCCAGATTCCAGCAGCACATTGGCCCCCATCACTTCAAGTGCAAGTACAATCTCTGCCAGTAGACATCAGACTAAACTGAAAACCAAGAGAAAAATAAAAACACGTTTTGTTTATTTTGCAGCTCAATCCTAGTTTCAGACTCAACTTCAAAACTTTGAAACCCTACTCAGTATTCAAGAAGGTCAGCAGGTTCCATGTATCACACTGTATGCTAAAAAACCCAAGCTAGGAAATGTCTTTTACTCCAAAGTAACACAATATACATTCTGTCTGCATTTTGGAAAATAATTGAGCATTAGCCCAATTGCTTTCCCTCGATATGCCCTTTTTCTGAAATAAAATTGAAAATAATCTTCAATTATTTTCATCTTCTTTTAGACTGGATGTTAGTCAATCTGGTCTCTTCCTCTTGGAGAAGTATCAAATATTAATTATCCCTGTAATATTAGAAAGGACATCTTAAATGAAGTGATACATGTCTAACTTAAAGAACAAGAAGTTTTTGTCCTTAAAGAGAACCATGTCTAATATTGGTCATCTTGAAAAAAACAACTGTCGCCGTGCTTAAAGCATTAATTAAGCAAGTGGACAGGTATGATGATAAAATAAATCTCTGCTTATTCTCCAAGAGATGAACAGTTAGAAAAACTGGAGCAGGAGTCCTTTGGGCCCATTGTGGATCTCTTCAAGCCACCCCTACCCCCAACCACAGAGGACAACAAACATTTAGTAGAAAATCTCTAAATTCTCCAGGATTCATAAAGGAATAATGCCTAGTTGCATTTTGTTCTTCGCATAGGGTGGACGATTTGCATGTCTTTTATAATTTGTCCAAGTAAAATGGTAGCAAAATGTTTCAGAAAGTAAACTTACTAGAAAACAAAAATGATGTCACTTGAAATATCAAAACAATGAACATATCCGAGCACTGCTGAGGGCTTGGCAAAGCAATCAGCTACCATCACACATCAGTAGAAATCTACCCTCCCACACTAGATATGCATGCAGAAAGAATGGGATATTATAGAGACTTGATACAATGGACGTATGCACATGGAGGTACAAAACACACGGTCTTTAAGTACAAATTAATTCCATCAGATTTACTATACAGAACATCAATAGTGACAGATTGCACCTACTTAATAACAGCAAACTTAATTTCTGAGGGAGGAAAAAAAAATGGTGAAGTCTTATTCTGGAAAAAGAGCTAAAGAGGTATCATCAAAGAGCTAAAATTTTCTTTGGCATGGTAAAGGGGGAAATTGAGTTTACCAACTTATTTACATGACATTTCTCTATATTTGTGGGTGATGCAATGCCATCTTGTTACATAAAGTTGTTTGATGTTTTTTAATATGCCTTCATATAAATATTTTATTAAATATGTTGTATTTGTGAATACAACGAATGATATTAAACACAGAAACTGTACAATGCAGACAAACTCTTTGTATGCAAATTGAGTAATACATACCAACAGTTCTTGATACACAGGTCCTACTACATGCAGTTCATCAGTGCTGTCCTCTTCCCATGCAACAGGTGAGACCAGACACAAAGTAAATGATCTAACTAAATTACAAATAACAAGGACCCCTCTGCAATATGTCTAAACACAGATTAGAAGAAACTATTTTGACATCCATTCTTAGGGATAAATGCCCTTATAGACAACCCATATAAAAAACCAAAACAGAGGTACACATTTACATGAATCTTGGTCATTTACAAAAATAAATCTTAATTTAAACCAATAAACATACTTGCAGGGGAGAGAAACCAGCAAGTAGGGCTGATTATCAAAAACAAATAGGTGGGTCATTTGTGTGTGTGTGTGTGTGTGTGTGTGTGTGTGTGTGTGTGTGTGTGTGTGTGTGTTTGTGTGGTGTGTGTGTGTGTGTGTGTGTTGGTGTAAGCAGTGTCTATAAGCCCATCTAATTGGATTTACAAGTTGAATTATCCATAGTGTGCCACATATTATGAGATATATGCCTTCCCTAAATAATTGGTTAATGAAATTCTTTTAATATATTCTAACTGATCCTGTTAAAAACATAGGTTTTAAGGTGGCATGACACCAAATCAAGAGTGGTAAAAGAAATAATTATGCTGTATTTGTAATTTAGCATCATTGACAGTAAATCTACTCAAACGTTATGCTAACTTCTTATTTATTCCAGTGGAGACCAATATGAAATGAAATAAGCATAAACAGTTAAATTTATACTAAACCTTTAATCAGCTAAGCAGGCCAATTTTTTTAAATGCTGGGCAAGGGCTGTCATGGAGATTTATGAAAGCAGTAACAAAATAATTTCCCAATAAATACAGTGCAGATGGGAAAAATGGCAACTGGGTCATCCTCCCACAGAGAAATAATAACAAGAGGCCAGTACATTGATCCCATATATAGTTTTCTATAAAAGAGGTTCGGTTTGGTCTCAATTAACTCTTCTGAGAAGAAAACATTGAATTTTATTAGGTGTACACAGAGTTAACAAATATATTTCCAAACAGGTTAGTATGAAACATTTGATACGCTTTATATCCAATACTGAACATTTTTCATGGAATCTTCACTGTGTAGTCAACTATTCATGGCCTTTCTTAGTAGTTGCCTTTCCTAAGCTCAGAGTTTAAGCCATATTAAACTAAAAAAGAAATCAAGAATGCAAAATGAATCAAAAACAAGTGGAGTGAATCAAAATCCTTTTGTTCTGAAGGTGTTGGTTTGCCTTTATTTTTGTCTAGGATAATTCAACAGACTGTATTTTGAAATCACGGCAAGGCACCTCTAACCCAGCCATTGGCCAACAGGGGCCTCAAAACGCTGAGCTGGAGGCATGTACTGGTGAAATTACACAGTACCGGACTCAGCATGCTGAGCTAAAAAAAATATTTTTTTTTCCTAATATGTCCAGTTTAAAAACTTGTCATTAAACACCAAAAATATTAAAGTCTAATTTATAACTAACGTTTGCATTGCTGCTGCAGGAAAGAACACAACAGCCGTCTTGCCCATGCTCTGCTGAGGATGAGGGGAATGCAGCCAGAAACGGAGATGGCGTTAAGTTTGGTTCGTTAAAAACAGGACGAAGTATATCTGAAATGGATTTAGGTAGCGCAATTCTTGTAGGTTGTAATTATTGATTCTTCTCTTTTATTTTATTTTTTCCAAATCATGAGAATTAATAGATGAAAAATGAGCCTTAATCAGGCCTACAAGGCCTACAGAATTCTTTGGACCCACTTTCTCAAAAACCAGTGGGTCTTGCTCGCTGGGCAAGGCAAATGTTACCATTACCAGTAAGCTTGTGATATGTATAAAACACACACACACACAAAGAAACTAGAGGGGGGTGTCAAACACGTATCCTAGAGAGCTTTTCATGGATTGTGTTTGATCCATTTCCCACCCAGGCAATGCCGACCTCGGGAGCACAGTATCTGCTACTGGATAGAGCGTATATGTGTTTTTAATCGATAGTATGAGCCAGAGACAACATCTTAATCTTTATAGATGCAATTTGTAATAATAGGTTGAGAAGGCTTCCTGATTCCCTGATTGCTCTCCGAACTAAGCCAACTGCAACATTTTACAATTTAGAACACAATCCCTGCAAAAGGTCACAGACAGTGGAGCAAGCAGCCCTGTCAAAATGGGAAGAAGAGAAATCCATAATAGCACAGGTTTACAGCGTCTAACTAGAAATTACTCAATATTATTTGTGTGCTACAAAATCGAACTTAAACACATGGATTTCGCTGAAACAGGACTCAAAAAGGATTATGGGTAGCTGTCAGCAGGCAAGGTATCGAGTGTACTTGTGAAGTATGTCATTCACATGAAGTGTCACAGTCACAGAAAAGATATTAAAAAGGCATTCCATATCTGGTAGGGCATTCCATGGTCTGAGTTTAGCTGGTTATCCAGGTGTCTTCTCGTTGTGGGGGGTGCAACAAGTTGAGATTTATCCACTTGCAACAAAGAAGTTCAGAGACAGCACAGAGCAAGCATTTGCTTACTTCCAGCAGCTCTTCAGCCACGGGCGCAGGAATGTCTGGTAAGGATAAATCACTCAACTGTGCTCAGGACGAATAAGTCACAACACCTGTGAGGATCTGGCTATGTTGTCTTACTCTTGTTGACTGGTTTGCCTCCATTCATTATTGCCGACGCACTTGTGCTTTTACTTGGCGTCACCCCAGCCTTCGGGACCGTTTCGCCCACATCATGCAAAGATGGTTCTCGGTACATGGCAACTAGTGGTGGGAAGAAAGGAGGAGGAAAGGGAAAAATGACCTGGTTAGGTGCGAGAGTGACCCATCCATATGTGCCCAGATCTCAGGAGTTTGCCTATTCCCCCTCACCCCAAATAAACCAATTCCGTTCAGAGGAAATTCCTGTTTTAAAGAAGTAATCTCCAGCCCAGAAACACGACATCACTTCTTCCATGTTTTCTGGTTTATATACCTAAAATATGTACATGGGTGTGCCTGAATTTTTGTATAGAAGACAGGGTTTAAATAGAAGTTATGGTCTCTTTGTGGGACTATGATATAGTGCACACACACACAATAGGAGCATAGAGGGACTGATGCTTGAGAAAAACTAGTGAGTAAAAGTAATCGGCTGTCAGAAATACAAGAGCATTACAGCTGCCTAAACTGTCTCAGGTATTTTATGAAGAGCCCTTATGTTTTGCAGGATGAACCACCACATGCCTTCTCTGTATTCAAGGTGGTAGAATGTTACCTTTTGCATCAACTCTTCATACATTTTTAAAAATAGTACACATACTTGAAAGTGCAAATGTACATCAGGCCTATATTAAATGACTTTCCAAGGTAGCAAAAGAAACTAAAAATCCTTATTCTTAAGTACATTTCAATCTCTCATTCTCAGTACTAATTAAATTAGGAGACAATAGCATCACAGCATTGACCTTGATTTTATGTCGAGAAGTTGTGTAAGAGATATGAATATCCAAGAATATCAATAATTAATCAAGTGCTTAATTTGTCCTGACATTTCCAATGCTATAATTTATATCATGTATGAGTTTTGAAAGTTTGAAATTCATTTTTCTCTATCAAGTAAACAATGGCATCGCCTTTGTCATTACAGTTCCTGTATCAATTGTTGTTAGAATTCTTCTGTCTTGCTAAGTATGTGAAAACATGAAAAATACTGTTTCTCAGAAAACAAATATCATATGTTCTCACTCATAAGTGGGAGCTAAGCCATGCTTAGATATACAGAATGATATAATGGACTTTGGAGACAGAAGGGGAAGGGGGAAAGAGAGTGAGGGATACAAAATTACCTATCAGGTACAAGTGCACTAGTTGGGGTGATGGGCACACTTAAAGCCCAGACTTCTTCACCACAGTACAATGCATCCATGTAACCAAAAATTATTTGTACCCATAAAGCTATTGAAGTAAAAAGTATTGTTTCTCTTTTTCATATATGTATGCATATATAGTGTTAAAAATTCAAATAGTAAATTCATCATTATTTGTGAATGTATAATTAAGTTGTAGCTTGCCTAAATTTGGAAAACTACTCTTGTTGGTTAATACCACCTTTAATATTTCAATGATGTTGACTTATGATCACTCTTAATAAAATGTGCCTCTAGAACAATATATTGAAACCCAAATACTTATCCACCAGGGTCTATGTAGAAAAGGATAGACTAGATAGATAGATAGATAGACAGATATAGATGTACAACTACACACATATACCACATTCAAATACACACAATGATGCCACACAATTAGTGTCTCAGATATTTCTTGTGGTCTATATAAAATAACTAGTTTCCAAATTTTATCTTAGTTAAATGACATAAAGACCCTTTTTTGTTTTCATTACATTTGCACAGCTAAGAAGTAAGGTTTTAGAAATTTAGTCATTTCTTAGCTGTCTATATACCAAACATAAAATTAGTGAAAAAAAGGAAAGCAGTGTGACAATCTATGGTATTTGTAGAGCTGCTGTGGACTTAGATTTTTATTTTTTATTTGCAGTTGAATATTGGTAAGTCTGATGATATCAAATTTCATTTAAAACAATAATGCCATATCATGAATGTGTTACTTGGGAAGAGCAAAGAACTCCTCTAACTTCTTTCTACACTAATTTTCCTTATGAGTTATCATTTGATGAGAATAATTCACTCATATTTCATTTTCTGAAATAATTTGTTCTTTCTTACATAAGCCTTGGTGGCTAATTGTTTGGGTTTCAATAAATTGTTCTAGAGGAAAATTTAATTAAGAGTGATAGTAAGTCAACATCCTTGAAATTATAAAGGTGGTATTAACCAACAAGAGCGGTTTTCCAAATTTAGGCAAACTGAAAATTATACACTCACAGTTGATGATGAACTGAATGTTCAAAATTTTAAATTATCTTATTTCTATATAGAGAATATGGATTATGAAGCCCATATGTATTTTCTCTTGAGGGCTAAGCCTTCCTTATAGGAGTAAAAGACAAAAAGAAAATTGAACTAAGGTAGCTTGAAGTGTTTATTCAGTTATCGTGGATGTGATCTTCTGCAAAAGAGTAAACAAAAGTTTTCACATAGAAAGCATGTGTGAATAGCCACAAATCCATTTTTTTCTGTAGTTCCCAAATGCTACATAGATAAAAGTAAATGACACTTCTGACAGAGTCATCAATAAGAAAGGGGCAGACATTTTGAATTGATTAACAAAACTTTGCAGCCTGCTCTTTGGGAATCTGATCAAAGAAAATGTGAAGGTTCCACTGTTTACAAGTGAATGCAGATAAATTATGTTGGTAAAAGAAGGGAGTGTTGCAACTGTACACAGTTAAGAATTATGCTGTTACAACTGCACTATATGTAACATCAGGAAGTTCTTTAAGAGTCAAGGTATTGTCTCTTCATTTACCGCAGTTATAACAATTCACAAGTATGTAATTATTTTCACCTTGATAATATCAAAATGGGCAACTATCTTTGATTCCATAATCAAACTTATTTTTTTTCTAATATACTTATAGTTAGCATCATAGATTCATGAAAGATTACAGATTTAACCTTTTAAAAAAATTAATTCATTAAAATCATCTAAGACGGTGGTCTCCAATCCTTTTGGCATCAGGGATTGGTTTCGTGGAAGACAATTTTTCCACGGGTAGAGGGAGGGGGGAACGGGGCGTGCAGTCGAATCTCACTGCTAATGTTCATCTATATTTGCAGCCATTCCCCAGGGCTAGTACCACCACCCCAGCTCCTCCTCAGATCATCAGGCAATCGAGTCTCATAACGGGAGTGCAACCCAGACCCCTTGCATGCACAGTTCACGAAAAGGGGTCACGCTCCTATGAGAATCTAATGCTGTACTGATTGGATAGGAGATGGCCTGGTGGTTGGGGACTCCTGATCTAAGGGTTACAGGGGCTGGGACAGTGAGGATTTGAGATATGGGAAGGGGGCAGAGAAGTGGGGACTTTTTTTGGCACACACACACATACACCATAAAGTGTATACAAGCCACAAACCCTAAATGAACAACTTAAATAGATATCTATGCAACCATCATCCAGCTCAAGATAAAGAACATTTCCAGCACTCCATGAGGGTTTCTTGTAGTCATAGTAGATTTATCAATTAAAATATAATATATGTAATAAGTCTGTGTAATAATAATGTGTACACAATACTTACCTTCCAATGGCTTCGGTAGAAAATGAGCTGCTGGTTTGGTTTTCTTTACTCTGTTCCCTTTCATAACTTGCCCCTCCTTATTTAATCCCAAAAACCAGGCTCTACCAGATTCCTGTTGTCTGTATAGCATGGATGAGTAGATTACATAATAATTTTCAAAAACAGATTCTTTAAACTTGCATTCAGGGGTAAAAAGTTCCTGCGAAGAGAAAAGGAGAAGAAAGTTAGAGGAAGGAACTGGATCTTCACGGTGTTTTCTATTCACTCTCCAGAACCTTATCCAACATGGTGAAACACTCAGCCCTGTGGAATGGATGACCAGATTAAACTCTTCTTGCACATGATAATTGTCCATACATTTCTTCCAATATACAATGAATGGAGAAGAATCTGCTATTATTGGAAGTACATATAAGCCAAAGTATGGATGTCTTCTAATAAGAAAATAGAAAACATGAGCAAATGTAATCGTTTTAATTAAGCAGAATACAATTCAACCAGAGGATAATCAGAAAGGGAGCACTGAAGTAGCATCATATATTCACAATAAAGTAAACACAAATAAAAAATATATACTTAATATATTTTCTAATCTACTTTATATACCTCCACAGGAATAATTATAAGTTACCCTAACCATTACTACTTGGATCCCTGATATTAGAGGATGATACATTTTACCTACAAAGGAACAAGCTGAAACCTCAAAGTAAAACCATTACAATCTGCTGGCACACAAGCTAGCCACTAAGCTATAGTTGTATAACCAGCTGAGGCCAAGTGTCATATTGGCTGATCATAGTGACAGGAGCTGAAAATAATGACCTACTTTCATGGTCTGAAGCCCCACTGGAACTCTTAAAGATAAACATCAAAAGCTATTCTTACTGAAAACCACCTAGTGTTTTTTGAAAGCGTATAGAGTGTGTTAAATACTATTAGGTTCAATGTCATGGTCTACGTCAATGGAAGAGCAGCACAAAGAACGTCACTTTACAGTAATTATTAATATCACAAATATTCATAAGAATTGTAGATCTTTTATAAATTCTTACTTTGGAATAAATAACAATGAAAATTATGCAAAGACAAATTAATAAAAGAATGACAAAGGTTCAGTCTCCATATGCATTTCTGATAATTCTCTATTAAAAATAATTTTTAAAATTTAACCTTTCCAGTTATAGGCCATGGGAGACACTTAATTAGTTTTGCAGTTGTTTTAAACAGGCTCAACACTGTGTTGTTCTACACATATATGAGATAAAGGTGCAAAACAAAGCTTCATTATTACTTTGTAAATCTTTTAAAATACATCACCGTACTCAAAATATGTACACAAGATTTTCATTTCTCCTTAATAGATTTTATTATTACAGAAAATAATTTTGTTTTTCTTTTAAAAATGTTTCATACATATTCTGAAAAATACTCTTTAGGGGCTAAAAAAATAAAACCTTAAAGAGTTAAATTTATGTTAACAGTAATGGGAATGTGACATAATTACATGTAAAAATTTTATTGCAATATTCTCATAAAAGTGTGAATTATCAAATGATGTCTTTGCAGGATACGATTTATTCAGTGTGTGCCATAATTTTAATTCATTGAGCATTAATAAATTTCCATGGGAACAGGTTTCTGTTAATGCCAGATGTTTTTCATGACAAAAATGGCAGATCAATGATTAATTTGATAAATTAATATAGCCAAAAGACAGGTTTAGCCCCTTCCTACAGTAGTTTATGTAGAATTCTATTTCTTCTAGATGATGTTACACCAAATTGGAATACAATCCCATCCAAATTAATGTCTGGCATCTCCTATTAGTTCTCTCACTAATAAATGATACTCTCTGGGACCAGACCTCAGATAAAAGACAGATGAAATGGTACATGCTCACATATTTGCAGTAAATAAATCAAAAAGGAATGCTATAAATCTGACTTCTCCCAAGGAAGCTAATAAGTATGACATATTGCTTGAAACCATACCTTCTAGGATAAAAAGATTAGGCTTTGAATTGTCATTTCTCCTTTTATTGAGACAGGTCAAAGTACCCAAGCATATTATTTACTAGTTAAAACCTACCTCAAAATCAGCTGGAACTGAGAGGGTAAGAGTTGGCCCATTAGGTCACTCAGTGGAGGTCAGTGGAGCTGGCATCTGTCTTCTGGGACATTGGGTCTCTGCTAAAAACCTAGCTCACATTAGTGAGGGGATCACTGATGCCCATCCTTTATCTATGGACACCAGCACCTCCAGCTTTGGAATGTAAGTCCAAAGGATAGTCTAATCTTCATTCTCATCTGATCACCACTGCCATCATGTCCAAAGCATGGCAGGTGTTGCTTGCACCACCATCAGCAGATTCCTATATATTGTCTCCACTCAGCACTGATTAAATTGAATGTGGAAGAGAATGAGATGATATAGAGGAAGTCATTTATTTTCAATGAATACCTTAATAAAAAAATAAGCTGGGTGGGATAGCACGCCCTGTAGTTCCAGCTACTTGGAAGGCTGAGGCGGAAAGGTCACCTAAGCCCAGCAGGTCCAGGTTGGGGTGGGTGGCCATGAGCATGCCACTGCACTCCAGCCTAGGCGACCGAGTGAGACTCCAATTCCAACAAATAATAATTTTTTTAAAAGAATTCTTTTTTTCCTATTTTTTATTTCTCATTTATGTAATTATTATTATTATTTAAAACTTTAGATTCGGGAAGCCCACGTGCATGTTTGTTGCATGGGTATATTGTATCATGGTGAGGTTTGGACATCTATTGAACCTATCGCCCAAAGAGTAAATTCGGTACCCCCTAGATAGTTTTGACACTACATCTTTTCAGCCAAAATGTTTGTATTATATCTTCGTATCCTAACGAAATCAATTCCACAGTCCTCTTCTGTGAGCTGCACCTATGTCTTTACAGATAAGTGAATATTTTTGTCTTCTACAAGTGAGAACCATTGACTTCCGTTGCTTGTGACAGTAGAGACTAGTACATTTTAATCCTTCTTTATTCCTGGCTAAATAATTAATGCATACACAAAAACATGCCTGTTATATTCAAGGATGTTATTGTCTAACACATTTTCTTAAGACTGTCCAAGAACTTAATTTGGTTCCTCAAATTTGGAGCCCCAAATGATTCCAGCATTTTCAGGAGAATTGATAATACCTATGAAAATTGAGGTTAGTTACTACTTATTTGATGTCATAAGTGATAACCATATTTTTAACATGTAAATAAGAGGCAACAGAGCAGATAACACCATCTGTGTGGAGTCAGATTTTAGGATTCAACCTAAAAAACGTGGAAAATGTGAATGGAAAGGTAGGTTGGAGAAATGTGACAAAGAACCTTACACACTCAGATCAACAAGCTAGACCCTTATGAGTGAGAAGACAACATGTCAAATTTTTTTTTTTTTTTGAATCAGAGTCTCACTCTGTCACCTAGGACTGGAGTGGAGTGGCACACTCACGGCCACCCCAGCGTTAACCTGCTGGGCTCCGGCAATGCTTTCGCCTCAGCCTTCCAAGTAGCCAAAACTACAGGGGTGCTCTACCACACCTGGCTAATTTTTTATTTATTGTAGAGATGTGGTCTCAAAACCCTGGATTCAGGCAATCCTCTCGCCTTGGCCTCCCAAAGTGCTGGGATTACAGGCTTGAGCCATGGTGCCCTGCCACAAATTTTTGTATAAGCCAGGGAATCATAATACAGCCTGATTAGTATTTTATATATACATATCTATTGGCAGTGTGGAGGTGGTTTTGAGAAGTTAGTAATACATCTATACTGATGGTTTAAAGCCCAATCTCTCACAAAATACACTTGAAAGTGTGTGTAGAATATGAGTATGTGTGTGTTTACTTTAACTGTTGATATTATAGAGAATTAAGAACACATCGAATAAGGGGAGAAATTCTACCAGGATGATGACACATTGAGTTCTGAACTTTCTGGTTGCCAGGACAAAAGAGAAAGACTACATGTTATAAAATCTTTTTTTTTTCTTGGCACTAACTTCCAAAAGGTATTTTCTTATGAGGGACCTATAAAAGAGACCTTGACCAACATAAACAAAAAATGCTCTTGATAGCAATTGTACAGTTGATACAGTCATCATTTGCATGTGAATCCTATAGTATGACTTATGACGATGGAGAATACAGTAGAACTATATAAAGTCCAATAGGTGGAAATAATTGTAATTTATGAGATCTCCAGGAATAACGTGCACAGCAAGGACCACCAACTCAAACGCTTAAAATGACCAGGCATATATACAGGAGTAAAGCAAACAGATTTAATTGTAGCTCTTTTATGAGGAACAATGACCCCTGACTCCAGCTCTGTGGTGGGGAGACAAAGATGGTAGTGGAAAAAATGATAAAAAGAGCAGCAGCTCTTTACATGGTTCTCATGTGAAAATAAAAACCTTGACTTTTAGGAAATCTGGCTTTTCAAAGGCAGTAAGAAATCCAAGTTCCTGCATCCTTTAAATTTTGACAACTATTTCTTAATATTTGTTATGTATGCATTTCTCTCTCTCTCTCTCTCTCTCTCTCTCTCGCATACAAAGGACATATTATGGCTTTTTTTAAATTTTTAATTTTTTAAAAATATTTTAAAGATGTGGGGTACCACTCAGGATTAGGTATACAAGTGGACATCTTACAGGTAAAGTTTGGGCCTCCTTTTGGTCCCCACTTAATACTTGTTTTTCTTTCTTTCTTTCTTTCTTTTTTTGAATTGGAATCTCATTTTGCTGCCCAGGCTGGAGTGCAGTGGCATGCTCAGAGTCACTGCAGCCACAAACTGCTGGGCTCAGGCTGTCCATCTGCCTCAGCCTTCCAAGTAGCAGGAACTACAGGCAAGCGCTACCACGCCAGGCAAATTTTTTTATTTTTATTGCAGAGACAAGGTCTTACCGTGTTCCTAGGGCTGGTCTTGAATCCCTGGTGTCAGGCAATTCTCTTACCTCAGCCTTCCAAAGTGCTGGGATTACAAGCTTGAGCCACTGCACCCGGCCTAGTATTGCCTAACATTTGTTTTTCATTACTGAGTGGGCTAAGGGAGAGGCTGTGAGCCTCCAACTGGAGACCTCCCGTGTAGAGTGATGAGAAAGGAACCAAAAAATAAGGGCCTCTAAATTGCTTATCAAGTCTTTATAATCTAATTGACAGCT